TACAAGTCAAGGCTTGGTGGCGTGGTGGCACAATAGAGATGGGTTTCTAACTCGAACTCCAGAGGTACTGTGTTCGATTACTACGAATTCCCTTGAGAGTGGAATTTACCACGCGTTGTTTCAGATCAGGGTTACTCGGTCGGTAGAGCATTGGACTCAGAACTGAGAGGTCTTAAATTCGAGCCCCGGTCGGGGTCACTCACCTTTCTTCCTTCTGAGGTTGATGGATTACTACCATTCTACTAACTGAGTCAGAGTGAAACAGAAGAACACAGGCTAGGCTTCTCACACAGCTACTGTCGATTCTATCTTTAAAAAAGCATGACACTCCATGCAACTCCGTCTCCTCGATCCCAAGCCCGGATGAGGAAGGAAGAAGGTTGGGGACCATGGCGATGTATTCGTAAACTTTGGCCACCTTTCACTCATGGTATTGCCGTCATTAAACATTTTATCAGCTGGGTCCTTTTTCCTGGTTACCAAGGATCGCGTAAGTCGTTAAGGAAATGAAAAATGAAAGTCATAGATCAGAATCTTCTTTCAGCGTGGAGTATAGCTGTACGGTGATGGCTACTAAGGATCAAGAAGATATCAGTCAGCAGTGAAGCAGCTACCCGTTCTGAATGGAGGAGGCAGACAGTGCAGTGCTATTACAGCAAGTCAGATTAGGTTCCACAGGAACGATACCGACAGTAGGAGCTCGGAGTCAGAAATTGAAACATCTCTTTACTCAGAGAGGAAGAGCAGGAGCTAGTTGATGAAGTCGCAGGACAAACATTGGATATAGTTCGATACTGGACAAAGAAGTGCAGGGGCTCTGGACTTCTGAACCTCTGCTGGTGAAGCTCATTCTGTTCAGTGTAGGCTCTGTCTTGCGACCAGGGTATCATCGTAGGAGATTTGAAAACGAGATGGTTGCAGTTTGCGCAAGATTCATATATTTTGTTTGCATCTTTTGAAACTGATTTCGAGCCTCTGGAAAAAGAAGTTTGCAGCCGAGTGCGACGTGGTCGGCATTCATGTGAACGTATCTAAAACGAAAGGCGAAGTGCTTTCTCGTTCTCTTGCTTGTTTTGCTCTGCGGATAAAGTGGAACAGGAAGAGAAGTTATCATTACTTGAAGTAGTGTTTACTAGTGATGGAAAATTTGAGCAAAAAATCGACAGATGAACCGGAAATGCCAGCGGCGTTCTCAGTTAACTTGCCGGAATCGTTGTGGTAGAGTTGAGTATGAAGACTGTCCGTTTCAAATCGATCTTCAACCCCATGCTTACCTACGGTCATGAGTCGTGTGCCAGGACTGAAAAACTTTGATCTGGGATACAAGCGGCTGAAATGGGTTTTCTTAGATGAATCGCTTGTCTCACGCTTCTCGACATGGCCGGAGTTCACATATCCGAGAGAGTCTTAGTGTACAGTCGCTGCTTCTTCAGATTGAGAAGCTATATCTACGATGGTTTGGACAAGTTTTGCAAATGTTTTCAGAAAGGAAGACAAAACAGCTACTACTTTCTCAGCCAACCCTACATTTAGCCAGAGATCCTCCAGTAATACATGGCGCCAGTGTATCGAAGGGCTCTGCTCCAGACTGAAGTTATTTTATGTCAGAGCTCAAACACTGACATTGGGTGGGGAATGTTGGGAATCACCTTCTGATGCATCCGCCTCCGCCAGCTGAAAAAATAAGTGATCATCGGAACTGATTGACTGACAAAGGAACTTCTGGCTGATGAGGTAAAACTGGAGATCAGCGGCCCCACGATTAACTTCATGAAAGCAAGGGTACTGGAATTGTCCCCAATATGTAAGTGTAAAGAAGGCCGAAATTCCAGCAGTTACAAATTTATATTCTTTTTCGTTTTGGCAAAGGAGTCCCTTTCTATTTTGGCAGTGAAACACCGTGTGTGCCAAAAATTCTACTTCGTCACGATGAGTGGAAGTTGGAGTGCTAATGTGTAGATTAAACCCTAAAATTTAATGTCATGGGTATAAAGATTACGTATTGTACGTAAGTGAGGAAGTGCAAAACTAGGTCTATGTGGAACCACTCGTCCCTGCAACTGAGAACCGACCTTTGGAAACCGACAGAAGTATAAAAATGGTATGGAACAGTTTTAAAAAACTGAAGATGTTCCTATCTAGGAAACAACCCTTATGGTTGAAGCGAAAAGTTTCGATCGGTTTATGTTCTCAGTACTTGCCTATAGGTGCAAAACGGACCGAATAACTAAGAGCTATTCATAAATTTCAAATTACGCAACACAGCGTGAAAAGATGTTTGGAAAAACAAGAAAAAGTATTACTAATCCTAACGAATAGATGAGAGCACAAAGAAGTGTCTTCGATGTCATTTCCCGAGTGAAGAGGTTGATGTAGCAATGAGCAAGACATGTTGCAAGAAGAACCTACCATAGCTGGACCAGAAGGAAAATTGATTGAGTTTCAAGAACGGTAAAAGATTCCTTTTGTTTTCGTTCTCCACCATCGCCGACTCTTGCCTTCACCGGGTTAATTGTTCCCCTTGCACTGTTTCTAGCCTTCTGTTTTATACCTCATGACATAAATTCTGTCAGGTTTCCTTGCCATATCTTTCTTTTTTCCATATATAATAATTCATTCTGTCTGTCATCTGCTTATTGAATATTAAGAACTAGTAATTATGACTAAGATTTTCATATAATTACAACTCTGTTCATGAATGAAAGATGTTGCTTCTCTAAATTTTCCCGGATGATTTGTTTCATATCTTGCTTTCAAATCGTCTTCGTCATTCGCACATTGTCTTTAGAATTACTTCGCTAAAGAATTATGGCTTCTCATCGTGTTTTTGTACCTCTGCCTATTTGGCTCTTCTGAAGAGGAGCAAAGAGAGTGTAGTTAGAGAGGGAGGCATACTAAATAGTGTCGAGGACATCTGGGACAGTTTTAAGCCGTCTAATTTTATGCTGTTGGATCAGTTCTCGACTCCCTGTATCGGTATGTTGCTGACAGAGAAATGACGGCTTCGTAGTCCATTGTAATATTCGCACCGTGACCCTGAAGTTGAGCGCTTCTTAATACCAGCTAAATCAATCTGGGCTGCTTTTGTCTGTTTTTGTTTATTATTACCATTGTTGCCTAGGGGAGGTGCACAGCGGGACTTGTGATGGAGCCTGTGTCACAGATGTCTCAGGGTTTCGTAAGGCTGACCAGCACCTCAGCGGAACCGTCTCGCTTTATTCCGTAAAGACATTTGCATAGGCTTTGCATCCTGAATGTAATAGTTCCTTCTTATAGCCTTTGCTCGCCCTCATTGTTATTTCTTGTTTTTCTTTATTTTAAGGTCCATTTAAGTAGCATCTGTTTGAATTTTGTTGTTTTTTCTAACTGCCTGTTTATGTCACCGTAGATGTTAGCCACCTGCTGCTGAGCGCATTCATTTTTTCATCCTACGTAACTTCTTCCGTCATCAGGTTTATCCATCTTGAGTGTGGAATCAGAAGAAATAGTGAATCTGACCACTATATTTTCATCATCAACCGATTTAACGCGACTGCTCCTCAATGAAAGCTTGAACTTTCGAACCTTCTTCCGCACGCAAGCGAACCCCACAAACTTAACGATTCCGTAGGTTAAGAACAAGACGGTTAAGAGCTGGATAAAAGCTATTTCCTCAGTGAAGCTTTCGGAAGCAACAACAATGTTTTTTAAGTGCAAATTGATAAAGAAATGATTTGACTTTCGGAAGCGTCACTCATTAAACGGGTTTTTAGGCTATGGCTGTTTTTCTTGTGATTGACCCATCATAAGCGCCTGCTTATGCCTTTTCGAAATGAATTGACGATTGCGTATTGTTCTGGGTTGTCGCCGCTGTCGCGCCATTTATTTATTGTCATTCATAATCACCAAAATTTCTGGCTCGCCTACTCCTTTTTGTGGGCTGTAATCGTTGAGATATTAGCCTCCGATACAG